AAACGATCTCCCAGGAAACAGCCGTCGCGAGAGAAACTCTCCAAACTGAACGAGCTGGATCTGATGCTGGAACTGATCAGGGACATTGCCAATGAGCTGGACATGACCAACCTGTGCCACAAGATCCTGACCCATGTCGGGATCCTGACCAACGCCGACAGGTGCAGCCTGTTCCTGGTGAAGGGTAGCAGGTGAGACGGACACCAGATTTTCCCACAATTTTCACGTCTGTCTTTAAAGCGTCTATAGAATTCACAGTCGGTTGTCTGAAAGGGGTGGAGGTAAAAAGCTTTTGTGGACAAACACTGTCCGATAACATTGAAGCTTTATTGACGCAACAAAAGTACAGCGACTTTCAAAAGGTTAGCTACAAACTACAAAATAGAAATACAAAACACGGAACAAATCATAGAATTCTACTTACCAACCAATAATGGCATCTATTATAGTCCATTACTATCAGGTAATCCTGGGCTAATCCTGGGTTTCATTACCTTTGCTAATAACAAAGCATTCTTGTATGTATAAACCTATTTTTCTGCATTGTGCGAGTTGTCACATGAGGGGGGGTGCATTTTGTAAACAGCTGCCATGGTCGGTTGAACCTCAACCTTTCTACATATTTCCATGTTTCGTGTATTCCGAACTGTGACGTTGTAAATTGACTGTAAACCCGTGGCCTGTGGACACAATAATGTATTCCTTCTACTTGAATGTAGGTGTTTTAGTTTTACAACAGGTCGTTTTCGTGATTTATGTTTTTAACTGCGTTTTTTTTTACTATGTACAAGAAATCAAGCTTAATTGGCTTGTGCCTTGGTAAGGCGGAGGCGCACTGTCATGTTGCATCATTCACTTCTGTGCACCCGTGAAGAAACTTTTCTACGGCCGAATCTAAGACATGTTTGTGTAGCTGTAAGATGGATGAATCACGAATTAACACTTACCGCACGATCAATATCCGTTACTAGGATGCCGTGTGCTCTGTTAGCCTTGAAATGATCGATGCGTCTGAAGCATCGAGTTCTATTTACATCCCTAATTTCCTGTCGTCCTGGTCTGCTGATTATGATAATAGATTGTAATAATGACGACCTTTATTGGACATATATGCCCACTGGGGTTAGTACAAGTCACTAAAAGAGTCACGGTTTACAGATACATGTACTAGTACTATAGTAAGCAAATTCGGCTTCTCGCTTTGTCGTGATGGTGGAAATGTAATAACAGATATACGTTTTTGACATATTATGATCAAAGGTTTGTCTAAACTCATTGGAAATATGAATTTATCTGTATTACTTAGACGTATGAAGTAGGAAAACATAAATTGTATCAATGTATAAAGTTCAACTTTGTTTTGTCTCTGCTGTACAATTTACAAAATGGTGTCCATCGATATCTTCTATTCTATTTTACATTACAGTATCGACATATCCGTTGTTCCAGGGGAGTGCTGTCCTGTCTTCCGGTTTGAATGCGTAGTTACCTTCGCCAAGAAGGTTATGTTTTCGTTGGCGTTCGTGTGTCTGTGTGTGTGTGTGTGTGTGTGTTAGCACGATAACTCAAGAAGGCTAAGATGGATTGTCTTGATACTTGGTAGGTGGGTAGGTCTTCATGAGACGTGGAACTGATTAGATTTTGGGCCCCCTAGCGGCTTCTTATGGTACTGCAGCTGAACTTCCGGTTTTGATATCTCATGATCTAGACATGCTAGGGTGACGAAATTTGGATGGAAGGTAGCTCTTGTGCTGGGGAACAAGTGACGTGAGTTTGGGCCCCCTAGTGGCTTGCTCTGGAACTGCAGGGACATTAGTTGAAAAATGTTTAAAGGGGGATAACTCAAGAACCTACTGATGGATCGTCGTGATTTTTAGCATGTAGGTAGCTGAAGCGATGCTTGACATAATGATATTACAATTATGCAAATATTAATGTAATTTGCATAATTAATGAGGAAATTCTATAAATCAGCTGCATTCCATGATAGGACGATTCAAGCTTGTGACATGTAATTCAGAACGGCAGAAATACAGGCAGATATTGATTATGCAAATGAAGACTTAATTTGCATAATTAACAAGAAAATGTTATAATTACATAGTGGTAATGTCTGGAATTTCATATTTGGGATATTTGAAACTTATGTGAAGGTGAACATAATTAAACATAACTTATTCAAATAAGGAGCTCATTTGCATAATTTATGAGAACATGCTATAATGGCATGCATTGATAAGATAAGACTTCTTGTGTAGAATATGATCAACAGATATAATTGATGCAGTATAGGATCCTATTTGCACAATCAGGGGGATTCATCTATAATTTCTTAGTCATAAAGGCTAACATCATTTGGCGAAGGTATGAGATCGTGGAACTCTTGTTTGTGGCATGCAGCTGATCCGCAGTTTTGTGATTACAGTATTGGTCTCTTAGTGATTACGGGAAATCACATCCTATCTCAGCCGTTATTACTGGTGAATGACGATGGCAGAAAAATTCATCGACAACGTTGACATTTATCCTCCTCTTGGTAAATACCACCCAAGGCACACGAGCGGAAGACGCCTAGCCGATACTTTTGCGACATTTCCCTAGTCCTGCACAAGTAATGACTACCTACGTATATATAGCTATTTGCTCTCTAATAGTAATACAGGGAGTCACGTAAAACGAGAGCTCATTGGTATGCCGCGGCTTGCAGCGCGCGGTGGATCCAGGATAAATTGCGCGTGTGAACGGAAGCGGTTCCACACCTTTAAGTGTACACTGTCGACCTGCGTAACCCGCGACCCCGGAGAACTCCAAATCTGTGCTGTCGGTGTTAACAGAGAAAACTCGTCTTTCACGGCCGTGTTCTATGTAACGTTAACTCGTCTTACTTCTTAAAGAAGCACGGATTCTTTCAAAAATGTGCTCAGGGGACGTTTCTAATACAACTCTCCAAAATCCATCACAGTGGTAATATACGTAGTTATGAATTGATTCTGACGCTGACTGGGTGTACAGGTGGTTGTTGAAACAACATCTAGCTGGCTGCAATCAGTCTTCATTTCGTTCCACTACACGTGTCTTCTTAATATTCCCTGCAAACAGCCTTTATAAGTCCTGGAGTTTCTTTGTAGTTCTTAGATTCCCCTCCCTTTTCTTTGGACTCATTTTCCTGCCAGCCAATCTAATGGGCTTCAAACATGCACCATTAGGTAATTAGCCTCATTCGCTGCAAATATGCACCCTGATAGAGTGCTGCTGGGGAAGAGAACGAGCTCGGTTGGAGAGAATCTTCTATGTTCTCACTTCTATGACGTAAAAAATATAAGCAAACATGGTTCTATGGCGTATGTTTACATGGTTCTAGGGGGATCAAAGAGGTTAAGACGTGGGTGGTAACATCAGAGAGCCGATGTATATTGCAGTATACAATAGTCTAGAATTTATGCATAACGTCTGGCTGTGGTTGTGCTGCTAGCTATATAGCTGCCACACTGGTTGCTCATTTTGTATGGGGAGGAATCATGTCGAAAAGTAACGCATCCAAACCTTGCTTTAAGTCCGTGGGTACGTATGAAACATGACCCGAGGCCAAGCTTCAGGAGCTGCGTAAGTAGAACCGGAGAAACTTCCCCGCCTGACGGGCGGACTTACGGCCACGCTCCGACTGACGTGTTTTTAGTTATTCTACAAGTACAAAGGATCATTCAACCGCGTGTAATCAGTGACAAACGTGCGTTGGTCCATACGTGACGATACTTCCAAGTCATCCCTCTTTGAGTGGTAGCACCAGATCATGTTTCTTACATGGGATAGCAGAACAGGTGTATTCGTGCTAGCTTCTATGAGGGGATTTAGAACCATGCACGTAACGTTGCGTCAGTCTATCCGAACGAGCGTCATGCACGTAATGCCGGGGTTTTTGACACACTTTCCAGGTAATTCAGTTGGGCGGATTTTGGCACGAGGCACCGGCGGTCAGATCGCATGACTAGTTTGGAGAGTCTCTGTCGTCAACATTCACTGTACCTAAACACAGCCGTATGTTTACTGTCGAAACGTATGCAGAACTGTCAGCATTCTTTATACGCTCTGTGTGTCGCGCTGCCACGCTCTCACACTTCGGTTTGATAACAGACTGTGATGACTTACGAGGCCGCGCGAACCTACCCGAATCTCTTGAACCGGCCTCTAACATGGAACAGTAGAGATGTGTAAAATTTTAGGTACAGAACCGGACCTGTACCAGTGCCGAAATAACTTTGGCCAATCATAAATGTATCCGACCGTCTTTTGATAAGTGGTAAATTGTTGTCCTTGTAAGTTGTATGAGAGTTTACACATTTCAAGCAAAAATAAGAGTTTTCAAGACCTAACTTGTCCGACAATTGTCATCTTTGATTTCTAAACTATCGACACCAGCTGATATTTTACCGCCAGTCTTACTACTAGTATACTAGTATAACTACTGCATTTAGCCCACGTAAATAAAGATCATCATCATCATCTTTCTTCCCAGAGACAACAAGTACCTGGTGTCTCGGTTGTTCGACGTGACGCCGGACTCGTCGGTGGAGCAGGCGCTCCACGCCACCGGCGCACAGGAGATCCGCGTCCCGTTCGGCTGCGGCATCGTCGGGCACGTGGCCAAGACCAAGGAAACTGTCAACATCAGAAATGCTTACGAAGTACGTCTGTGTTCTTGCAACTAGAAACATTCTCTAGAGGCAGATTTTTCAGATAGCCCCTCTATCTTTCATAACTGACTGATGCGGTTGCTATCTGAAACGTCTAGAGAATTTATCTAGTTGCTGATATGTATTGTAATAGTATCACGTAGTGTTTCACGTAGTGTCTAATCTTCATCGACGCACGTACGTCTGCGTTCTGTTTCCCTTGTTCACTGATCGCTTCTGATGGACTGGTCCTGCGGCACAGGAAACCCATTACAGATAGTGATGTGCCATTAGAAAAAAAACATGTAGGGTAACGACTCGGGCAAATTCCAAGTTTGAAGAAACTTTTGTTACGCCAACAGCTCTGCATCGTTATATTGTAATCTCTTTAGCAGGCTCTATAACTGGGGATTTTTTGAGGGGAAGGTTTAATAATGCGCATCTCTTTGGCTTATCAGTCTGTACTTGCGGTTTAATTTTTCCCTTTGAGTCGCCGAAATATAGCAGGCTCCAGGGCAGGCTCTATCAGCGGCCGGGCAGGCACAAGAACCCGGGTACAGTCAGATGTGACACGCCATGACAAAAAAAGTTCAATATAAAAGACCCCAGTCGTAGAGCTAATGAGGCTAATTATATTATTTGGAGCCTACGAGGAGAACGAATTGCCTGTACTGTCTTGCTTGTTTATTTGTTTATCGGGGATCGTCATTAGTGCAGCAGTAACTAATCTCCCTGGGGTCCTCGTCTGGAAAACACAATAAACATCACAATCTATCATAACTAAAAACCTCGCATCATACATACACTACATTACGTTATTATTATGCCTTAAGTAAGACGTATTATGCATCAGAAGGCATCCACTGACACACCTACAAAAATGCCTTTCCTCGTCAATTTCATATTGCGATTCAAGGCGCGACTGAGAAAAACATGTCTAAATGTCTTCAGTCAGAAGCTTTTTGTACCGTGAACAATTTGTGCAGCGCTCTTGGCGAAAGGTGCATTTACTGTTACCTTGTGTGGGAGTAATAGCACAATACTGTGATGTGTGTATATCATAAGACACCAACGCAGATGTTCCCATATGGCCTCATTAATTTCAACCGACTGCAAATTGGCAAGGAATGGTCTGCCTCGCATCGCCACTAGTCTCGTTAGGCGCCACAAAGTTGACGTTAGGAAATATTCATGACTTCAGCTGCTCCCCTGTGAACTGTTACTCAATGTACTGTAGATAAGAAACTAGGCTGCCTGTCTGTAAAGATGGCGCTTTGTGGGAATCAAGCAGCGCAAACGTGTGCCGATTTTTAGTGAGAGGGCACTGAAAGGTGAAGACAGATACCAGTGACGCCTAAAGGCCGCGACAGGTCCGCCGCACTACATCACTAACCTTTCACCTTCTGCTGGCCATTAACGTGTACGAGTCATGGCGTCTCCCCAGGGAGAAGAGTGAGGACGGTGCCTCCTCAATCCAAAATATTCTGTTGAGTCTCCACAGGGACCGACCAGAAAGGATCACTTGAGGAAGGGTGGGGATGGAAAAAGAGACTTTTGAAAAACACTTTGTAGTAAAAGTGGAAAGTTCACATCATGTAAGAAACACACAAAACGTACTGCTGTTAGTTTTCTCTTCCGCGCTTTCTGAATACTTAGTTTACAGGATTCAGACAACTCAGACGTTACAATCAAGCGCGAAACACCAAAAACAGCGAAATGATTTACCTCAGCATCTAGTCTAGACATGTTTGTTTGTTTGTTTATTGTTAATTTCAGGCTCAATGGCTCATACATACAAGACATGACATATAAACCTCACCTCACCGGTCCCATTGCAGTCACATGACGTAAACACATCTAAAAAAACATATAAATTGAGGCATGTACAGATAAATGAGCTATATGAGATATATCAAAAGCGTATGTGATGATGATATTTTCAAAGTAAAAGATTTCAGAGGTAGCCAATCTCTACTATATCAGGATTACAACTTCCGCCCGCCCAGAAGTCTTGTCCTCAAACCACCTTTGAAATCTATGAAGAGCAGACGTCTCAGATAGCATCTTCTACTATCTTTGATCAGTCATCGAGAATGACATAATACAAAATAAATCAAACAACTGTATGAATTCTCCAAAGAGTCCGACGTTTCCGCTATCTTTCATCAGTGCCTGAAAAATGAATAAAGAGTAATGTTCTATACCTGGATGCCTAACCTTCCTGGGCGCACCTTTGAAGTATGTCTGAAACCAGCGGCCCACTCCGAGCGGGCGTGATTGATGAGAGAGCGCCGCGGGAAGTTTATGATCCATGAGACAGCGCAACCAAGTTGTCTTTTCGTCCCAAATGGAACACAAGATAAGCCCCCGGCGTCTTGGTAAGATAGATGATGTATCGATTGCCGTTCTATTTAAATGCACTTCAAGTACTTTATCTTGAAGAAAGTTGGAAGTGTTTCTGGCGCAGAGTAGAGATGTTCAGTACCGATAACCTGGTCGCCAGTTGTGGGCGATGAGCAGTGGAGAGATAATGGACTCTGAAGCATGTAGTCTCTTCAGGAGTGCTGAATGGGTGTTGGGGGTCTCCAACAGATTCCTTTTGAGACAGCATAAGGCAGCAAATGTGCTCAAAATGAAACATTTCGTTTATGACCATTTGCGCAAATATATTGGTCTTTTACAGCACCTTTCCACTAGAGGCGGCAAACGCCGAGCGACCAAATATTTGACAGATCACTCCACGAACGGTCTCTCAAATACGTGTAGCTACAGACAAAATGCACCTCTGTATTTTCTCCCGCGCGATTCATTGATTATTACGAAGAAAAAATTCTGTACGTTTTGCCAGAACAATGAGTGTATGTTTGAGGCAGGGTTCAAGGTTTATGATGATGTGTTACGCCGAAAGGCGGTTATACCGGCTATACAGATACAGATACAGATGATGTTGGTAGACAGATGGTGTTCGTGGCCATTTCACAAAGGAAAGCTTGAAAAGAACAAGATAACCTCCTGTACGCCCGTCCGCTGTGGCGCCGATATCGAGACTGGTATTAGACGTTCCACAATGCAAAGATACTTCAGAATTCTACACAAGGACAGGCACTCCTTCTTCCCTTCCTCGAGGAATCGGTCTTTTAGGAAAGTGATCAAGTACGTACATACAACCACTACCACTGATCCTATCCCTGCTGCAGATTCTTCAGGCTTTTAAAGACACTTCCAACCGATCTGGGGAAAGAGGATAATTTGTTTTCTCTTGATGTGTGTTAAACGCCGTGAACATTCTCTCTTGACTCTTCCTCAGCTATTAACTCAAGATCGTGAGTTCGGGATCTACAGTCGTCCACTGCGCAAAAAGTACATGAATGAAAACATTCTGACATGTTTATGTCTGAGTCGCCTGGAGACGTAGAGAAAACGAGAAGTGAAACACATGCGCACCACAAACTGGAGAGGTAAAGTAGCGCTTCAGGTGCAGTGAAGCAAGAATCGCCATCTTAGATCTCCGCCCCAGGACAACATTGCCAAGTATCTGAGAGGCTCACGCCAACACTATTTCATTCTGGTCACTGCCTAAGAAATAAACAGTTTCAAATTTCCACCTGCAGCTTCACCAACCAAGATGGACCAGTTTGGAATGTCCCTGCCTACGTATATGGTTATAACATATACTAGTACTAGTATTTCGTATAACGTGTTTTTTTCTATCTCAATTACTTGTATTATAGTGTTGATTGAAAAGCCAATGTGATCTATTTTGGGGGTCAGATATCGTATAGCCGAAGACGACTGAGTGAATAAGTCGATAATTCCAGTGAGTCAATCTTTTTGAATTATAGAACAGTTTTCCTGCATGTACTTTTCCATGTAATTTATTTTTCATGCCGATTAAATTTTATTTGTGTATATGACGGTGGAGGCATTCCAAATCCTGTTTTGTAATAAAAGATGGCCAGAATCATCAGGAGTGACGGAAGAGAAGTAGTCCATGCCCTCAGAGATAGCAATTGTGACGTACGGACAATCGATAAGATTGAACTGAATCTCATGTTCGATTCTTCGATACTGAAAACTGGGTCACCCGTGATGTATGGTATTGATTGTAACATAACAATCTCTCTAGCTTTGTGCATCTTTGTTTCCCTCACAAATTAGACGCGAAGTACGTAAAGCAAAATAAATCAAGCAGCTGGATACATCCTCTGAGGAGTCAGACAGCATCTATCATATTTCATGACTGGGATTCTCCGCGAGGATGAGACTGAAGACAAATTCCCCCCAGATACCCCCGACACATACAGTAGCTCCTGTGGTCCAACAGGACCAATAGAAGCTGCTTGATTTTCCCTCCAGTCACCCATTTATATACAGGTTACAATTGTCTCCAGACTCGTTCAAGTCACTGATGAAAGATAGAGTCTGAAACGTCTAACTCCTAAGAGAATCTATCCAGTTGCTCGGTGCATTTTGTACTCATATCACGTAATGTTCTAACTTCATCGACGTGGACCCAAAGTTGTCCCAATCTGCCCAGGACTAGCAAGAATGAGTGGAAAAGTATGCCGATGACGCGAACTCTATTTTACGACAAACAAGCAAACCGACGGTCACGCCATAGTGCCACCGCTGACCATATATGCGCGCCAGCTGGCGCATTGTCGGGCTGTTTTACTCCACTAGAGCATTGCTGGGGTACAAAAGGCAGACATTGACCAATGTTCTGTGACGTAAGCTTTGACACGTCGCATGCCACACACCGTCGTTTTTCCCTCCGCAGGTTTCCATGTTTAGGTCCGTATATTTGGACGAGATTTCTGCTGAGGGTAAGAATATCCTGTAACTGACGTGTTTTGAAACATTTTGGTAAGATTCTACACATGTGTGCATACCAGCGATTTTCAAGGCAGTCCTGATGACGCACGTCTTGCTATGTCTGGTCAGTGTCTTCGCATGTGTCTGTCCCCGTGCCCTGACAGAGTTCAACTTTCTAGGAGATTTGGCAGTAAATGCCAAAGTCATAAATTTTGGAGCTTTCAATCTTTTACACTCTATTTTACATCAACTGAGATTTGCCACATGTGTGGATGGAAGGATTGCCAAACCTGGTGATTATCACATTTTCATGACATTTTTAAGATGTCAACCCGGAGAACAGACTGCAAGGCCACTCACATCGGGAAGGACCCCTGCCCTTTACGATATTAAAGTGCGGTGGGTTCTTAAATGTGCTTTAGGTGTGGTTCTCCTCAAACACGTTTACTGGAATACCAGATTCTTTAATGGCTTGCTGTGTGTGTTTCCTCTGTCAGTACAGTCATTCCTTCCCTCCCTCCCTCCCTCCCCAGGACCCCCGGTTTAACCGCGCGGTGGACCAGCGGACAGGGTACCACACCCACTCCATCCTGGCCATGCCCATCTGCAGTGCTGATGACGAGGTGTTGGGCGTGGCGCAGATCATCAACAAGGCCACCGGAGGTCACGAGTTCACCGACAAGGACGAGGAGGTGACGTCATTTCCGCTTCCTTCACTACAACTTCTACATGTATAATTCTAATGTTTACTTCTATGAACGGAGATATTGTTTTCTGTTTATTTGCTGTGGGGTTGTGTGTCTGCTTTTCCGGGCAGAGTACGTTGACAGAAAGCACGTGGATGGGGGAATTGACAGGCAGAATGACAGGTGGTCAAAAGGTCAGACACAAGGAATGGCTCTGGTCGAGAGCCAGCAGGAATATTGAGGGCCATTCAATACTTCCCGGAAGCCTGAAATCTCTTATTTCTGAATATTGACAGATATTGCTGGGGGAGGGTGGCAATGGATTTCTTTATGTTGGTTTTCACACATTATCAATTAAGGTTTCATACTGACTGCAACTCTGACTGAAGAGATTGCCATTTGCCACTAAGCCAAGTATGTGCCCCCTTAAGGAAACTGAATGCCTCTGTTTCCACCTCAGCAGAAGGTTGGGACGAGATGACAGACGCAGAGGCATGGGCTTGTAAATATGGGCCCAGATGGTCTATTAGCTAACGTTGTGTAGAGGACCAATCTTTCTAAATCAAGTCTCGTTTTATAAGTACAGATGGCGAACGCTCCAAGGGGATCAGTTCCACTGCATGTCACGAAATTTTCGCCGTATAGTATGGGTTTCTGAATACTATTTCTTTCGGCTTAAAAATGATGGCAGTCGTATACATGGTACTTGATACTTTATTAGGATATCCATGGAGGTTGATCCTTGCGCATGAAAACTGGGGTGACTGGTAAAAACGTTCACGAATACGCCTCGGGCAAAGAGAAATTTCCTCCCATGCAAATACTGAAATAGGGGCTGAATCTTCAGTTCTGCAATACGTTTCACTGTTACATATTCGTCTTCTCGTTATTCTCATAGTGAAAACCGCCTTACCGCGTGATTATATATAATGAGAACAGAGGCGCCGGTCTTGCCATAACAGCGCAAAAGCAAGACGACAACAAGCGTCAGCCAAACAGAGAGGAGGAAATGTCTTTAGTAAAACGTCGTTTGCACATTACCCCGGCGCACTTTTACCGTAATTGGAATAAAATCGTGTGATCTTCCCAAGCGTGTTTACCGTGCTCCAATTTTTGACAAAGCAGCGATTAAAAATTTATTCCGGGTTAAAATTCGCGTCTGAGAGACCGACAGTACGGCGGAGAGAGAGCCGTATCGAACATACAACGTGACGGTCTGAAAAATCCCTGAAAGAACAGACATACGCGAACCAAGTGTAGGTGAGTTGGTTAATTCCAAATTCTCAATTCTTGATGATAGTTCGACATGGAGCAACATGTTATTCTCCATACTTGTCTGACGTTGCTAGATCTAGGGGCCTTAGTGTTTACCGTATTACGTTAGAAGCTTCACCTCTCGTTTACCCCATGTGAGGCCCAATAGTCTTGGTGAAGCAAGCTTACACTGCTGTGTCAGGTTGCCAAACTTGAGTCAAGTCCCCCTGAGACTTGATATGGAATTTCTATAGATACAGATCTGTATAAATTGTCCAGCCTGTGCAATAATTCCACGAAATAAAAGATCTCCTTAATCCGAGCTGATATGGAAATTTCCCAGGTGACCTGATATAGAATTTCTATACAGATTTTTTCCACAAAGCGTAGACAGTGCAATAATTCCACGAAATAAAAGATCCCCTTAATGTTCTGAATACAGGAAAAGACCATGAGTTTTCATATCATCGGACAGCAGTTTGCCTAACGACATGCGTTGAACATAGATCATAGCTTGGCTGCTTTTCCCTGCTTTTGCCTGCTGTGTGTATGGATGTGGCTGTTAGGATGGTGGAGGTACCCGTCATGTACAGCGTTGTAAAATCTTATACACATAAACTGAAATTGTGTGTGTGTGTGTGTGTGTGTGTGTGTGTGTGCGCGCGCGCGCGTGCGTGCGTGTGTGTGTGTGTGTGTGTGTGTGTTTAAAAAGGCTGAGATTTTCTTTTTTTCATTTAGCTCGTATGATGCATTTGTCCTATTGTTGTTTTCCGTTTCCCTTTATCAATTGTGTGATTTATTCCACCGTGATCCTGCCGGTAGCTACACACTACAGACACCCCTCCTCCGTCTTCATATCATCCAGCACCCTCCCCGCCCACCAGGTGACCATTAATGGACCGTCCCTTGGGGCACCCATCTTTCCACCCGCCCATCCTTAAGTCGGTATCTTGTTGCAGCTTCTTCTTGTCCTTAGCTGACTGACATAGATTGACGCACATCTAATTATCTGTTCCTATTACCTCCTGTCTACAGTTAGTGAAACATAATCACTCCGCCCCATTTGGTGTAATAGCACTTCCTGTGAAAGACAAGAATGTGTCCATTAGAGTCGTTAGAGGCCAATTTTGCGTGTGGAACTGAACACGAGTCTTTCAAACCATTTTCAGTTCCTGGCGTGATGCGCCATACTAACAGCCATGCTGTAATGGCGCTGGGTTGTAATTTCGAAGCAGAGAAAGCTAAGATAATATCTGCTGATGGAAGAAGAAAAACAAGGTGAAAGCTCAGAAAGGAAATGAGTTCCAGCCAAGGCACGCTCTTCTCTAAACTAGCCTGACGGTATGACCTAGTGTGTCAGTGATAGTGATCTGACTACTTTCCATCTGCTTTCGGCTTTGAAAGGCGCGCAAATTAGAACTAACCCCGCTTGCCCTTCTTGTCACAAGGCGTTGAGATGAAACAGCAAAATTTCCAAGGCATGAGACAAGATAGTGTGAAATATTTTATACCGCTAGCTTTCCCCGTGGGTCACAATGTTGTTGTCAATGGCAACGGTTATGAAAGTCAGCTCGCGATTTAACACACTTTCTCTCAGTAAAGAATACTGGTTTTACAATTGAATGCCAATTTAAAGGCTGCTGAATGTGCCTCCCGGTGTGTTGCACCGGACAAATCCGGATGTGTAGATACCTCGCCCTAGTCTCCGCTAGGCTGACAACGCGGGCTGGGGTAGAATAATTTGTCAGGAGAGTTTAGCCACTACACATTTCACTTGCTCGAAGTGTTATCCTCACCGTGGCTCACCCCGCTGGCCAATTGTTGAACTTATTTCTGCCGAATTTTGTTGTCGATAACCCTTTAGGAGGGCCTGGTGAAGGGTAACTTCTTCCCGCTGAAGTCAATCAGACATGCCGATCTTGTTTAGAGTCCCTCTTCTCCACCTCTTGAAATGACGAGTCTAATGGCCGACAGGACCAAATGGCCAGGCTCTCAGAGGGATTGTAATTACAGCCGGGTTTGAAGTCCCCTCTCATATCAAAAACCGTTCCAGAGTCGATTACCGCGGGCACATTAGAAGTGCTATTCTACTCAGGTTAATGGTTGATATGGGGGAAAGGTCATTCGTAGCTCCCATGATGACATCGCGATGGAGAATTGATGGCAATTTGGAAGTTTTAAACTCGTGTTTAACGAGTGCTCAACAGCTTCATCTTCAAGCTACAGACCTTGAAAATCGTTCGATTCATTAGTTTGATGTCGAGAAGTGCTTCCAAACACTTCTAATACATCCTTCGCGGATCGTCCGCTAGCTTCTGAGCACATGTAAGTACTGACATACGTGTGGGAACAACTCTTACTCCTAGTGGAAGTGGTGACTAACGCAGAGACAGCGCCGATGGAAGTAAAATTTCAATCTCCTTTAATCTGATCCTTCCTCGCTAAAAAGCGATGAGTCCGCGTAGGCACGGACTTTGCGTGCCGATGTTGTTATTCAGTAGACTGGTTCTGTCCCTGGTGCTGATCGCTAATCGCACCACACGCGACGTTGTTCGTGTGTTCTTGGGGCTTCTCTGCAATTTCTGAACTCCGGTTGTACAAAATTCGCATCCTAACAATCCTCAGCATTACTTTTGCCATGCTATCTCAATATCGCTGTATCATATCTGATGAAATGACGGCGATGCTATGCCCACTGAGGTTGCCTAAACACAGATTTATTTCCCTCACAGTTAACCAAGTGGAACAGTACAGTATGGGATAAATGAGACTAGACAGTAACTTTGCACTTACTACATCATGTATATTTCATGTAGATCGAACATACCTCACAGTGTGTACTTAGAGGTATACTTCATATGTGGGCAAGAACATGTAACTAAAGATCATCACCATCATTAGCATGATTTGTTGCTCCCTCCACAGGTGTTTAGGAACTACCTGACGTTCTGTGGCATCAGCATCGCGAACGCGCAGATGTTCGAGATGTCCATCACGGAGTACAAGCGTAATCAGGTGAGACAATGTCGCTCAAACAGCCGTGGTGTAGCCCGGGGACGGCAACGGAAACCCGTCAGCTGGGATAAAGTTCCATGTTTCAGTTACCTGTGTACATATGCCAAGTGACATATCCAGAAAAACATTTCTTAACGGCTCTTGGTGGCAAATGTGCAGATGTTGACGCATTGGCACACCAATCGTAGTGTGTTTTTGCCACACATTTAGACAGATTAGCCAAAGAGGCATATCCGTGACATATCCATACATATGCTGAAAAACAACAGTATTTGTTTGCCCGGACAGGGTAGGTTGAGTAGGTGGGTAGGGGAAGACATGGAGGAATTTCTGAAGCCGAAAATTGCATACCTCTTGGAGGTTTAAATCTCCGATTTCTACTTGTTTTTTTAAATCCCATCCTTAGGTAACAATCAGATGATTGTATTTCTTTAAGTCTAACAACGAAAGCGAACTTTTCATTAAGATATAGACATAACCAAACATGGTTTCAACTTTAAACATTGTAACGTTATAACCTCACACAACATTCTCTACATAATTTTCCACCAAAGCGGTCACAAAACATGTACAATGACACATCCCTGTTCATCACATAAATCTTCTTGACACGTCCAAACGGGGATGGCGAAAAGTTGGGCGTTAGACCGCTAATTAATCACAAACACCGCCGCTGATTTCCCTGTAGGCGTCATTAATGATGGCTTAGAAATGATCCTGTCTAATTACTTCTGCTCCATCTGGGCAGGCGAGTCTAATATGCAGATTTTGTTTTTGAGATCTCCGTTAGCGATACTAATATTTACTATTTTTCCTAGAGTCTAGCAAACCAGAATAATACAAATATGGCAATGAACGCCTTTCTTCATCTGTTGTTGCAATAATGACGTGATCGTTAGCAATAACGATACAAATGGAATCATCCGTACAACATAATCTATCAATTAATCAAAACTGTCATTGCAACGATTGTATACGATAAGTTGTCTGGCTACTGGGAGGTTACGCACACAATTGCTGACCCACTCTCTCTCATTTCCACGGAGCTTGCATCTCAATAACATTGCGGAGACATGGTAGTTACGCTTGTGTAAGATTTCTTGCCACGGTAACGCGTTGTTATGACGTAGTTTGATTGACAGATGGGTTGGGCGTGTTCGCAGATCCTCCTCCAGTTGGCGCGAAACATCTTTGAGGAGCAGACGTCGGTGGACAAGGTGGTGCACAAGATCATGAAGGACGCGCAGGACCTGCTGAAGTGCGAGCGGTGCTCCGTCTTCCTCACAGAAGACCTTCATGATGAGCAGGTGACCCAGAAAAACAACAGCACCAGGAAAAACAACAACAACAACACCTACTACTGCTACACAGTCATAAACATATCATGCTCCTCTTTTTTCCGTTTTCATCATTTGGTTATATGATGACCTATTTTGATTGCTTCTCATCCTTCTCATTAATTTATGTGTCTTTTTATTCAATTTCTGTTAATATAAGGATGGCAGTTTATCCACTTTAAGGCCTGAATGCTGTTAAAAAACTATAAGAGTTTATGCATGTGAAAAACAAGTTCTGTGTGCAAATTATTATTTTGCGTTTAATTACTTTCAACCTTCGTCAGTTTTTGTGCTATTGTTTTAATTCATTTCTTAATTTGATTGGATTTTTGTCCTTTTTAGTTTTCTCTACTGTTCGAATCACAGAGAGGACGTCGCCGGTCTCTGGTACTGATCATGAACTTTCTCCTGTCATCCTCATCTTTACTCTTGTACTTACTTCGGGTCACGAACACTTAACATCTAACGTCAACTTCAAAAATCATCTGTTCCTTTGCATCTGTCGTCGAACATATCTTACTAGTGGTAGATAAAGCACTGTCGCCGGGCATTCTGGGATGCTGTTGGCGTTGTTAACGTACATGTATCCCATCATGCCCATTGTAAGTCTGTTTGTCCTGACGCTTGTAGAACCCAAATAGTTGCATCGCTCCTATAGTCTCCACCAGTCTGACAACACGGGTTAAAGTAAAGTAAAATTTAGCTTAATAGAGGGAATAATTTGACCGGGGAGTTTGGCCACCATAGAGTGAATTTTCCTATGAAAAGTTTAGTGTTATCCCTACCACGGCTCACTCCCTTGTTTTTGCCGAATTCTATTCATAGAAGAAGAAGACTGGTGGAGGCTATTGCTCCAAAGGCAATACAGGAGCCTGTTAATTACCCAATCAAAGCTCTGTTGATGTTGATGTAGACACCACATCCCCTGGTTTAACCGCATGTCACGACCGCTCCACCGCCAGTGACTTTCCTCCCCTAGCTACCGTGTGTCCGTACGTGGTCGCTAAGTGTTCTCTCTATTGTCTGCACCGCCCACCCTCCCCCGCCTGCCGAGGAAGGACCTCAGTGCACACCTCAGTACTGAACCCCCTCGACCGGATAATCCCAAAACCTCCCTCCAGGTAAATACATGTTAGCCTGAATGCCAGCCTTTTTAACTTTAGTACGCTCTATCTCGGCCAAACTATTTAAGTTACTGGTAGGGAAGCGACCGAGTGAGCGCACTAAAGCTACAAATGCTGGCATCCAGGCAACATATTTATAAACTGCTTACGTCTCCAGAGAAAACACTATACCATTGGTGTGGTTCCTTGCTTAGGCATTTTTGCATACTCCTGCTATTACCAAAAATACCTTTCACCAGTATCTAGTGCTTGTAACGAAGTTAATGATATCACATACAGTCATACTTAACAGAAGAATGCAGTCTTAAGACCATTGAAAACGCAACCCACAAATGTCTCCAGCATCGGTGCTTCTCAAGTATACCGTATTTGAGCTCTACGCGTGTTTTCCTCCAGTACCCTCAAGAATAGCCGGCGTTTATCCCCCATTATTGATTGGATATCCAACATTTACTGTGTCGCGGCTATTTCAAGCTAAATTTGTTCGTTGATGTTATTTAAAACGCTCTGGTGCGTTTCCCATTTCATTTTCCTTGGCTATCTCCAGCGCACGCCAGTTTGCATGCTCTGTTACACGCCAATTTGCAGGGAGATTCCATTTATCTATATCTCTGGAGTCTGTGAATTATGATATAACCCAACCAGATGAAAAATGTTGATATCACTCTAATGCGATACTAGTATGTCGACAAACGACCGAGGCACGCTAACTTCTAAATGTACGGTTGATTTGTAGTCACTGTCACACTGAGCCCCTCAGTATCTTCGGGAAAATCCCTTGCTGTCACTGCTTTCTAAAATCACTTACTCTCACAAATCTGTCTTTCCAACTTCTCACTTCGCACTGTGACGGTTTATATTCCATAATTACCTTTACTGGAAATACAGCGCGGTCACATTCGTCACACGTTATCGCACAATCCTAATGCCGTACAATTTTCAAGTAGTCTGTGACAGAACCAAAAGCCGACATGACAGCATCTTCCGTAACAAGACAGATTATGTTTTCAAGACACATGAACGACTTCCCTAAGAAAGCCTTCAGTTTGCAGTCGTGCGAAAATCGCACGTTTTTGAGCGGGCCGTAATAAAATAACCTATTCAACCCCTTTGATATGACCGCTGCTATAACTTCCCCAAACACGTACAGTATCTTTCTTGTCTTGATGTATAGTTCTCCCCACTTATGTCCTCCTAGCTGTAGTTGACCCCGTATTTGACTCTCCCTTCTGAGGATTCCCGATTATTAAGTAGAATATATTTTCTGGTACTTACATTTTTTGTGATAAATGTATACGTATAAATAAAACACTCTTACCGTTATCACTTGCAGAAGACATCGAAACGTTTGTTGTTATTCCAATATGCAGTTTTGTGAGCTTGATAACACTGTCGATGATTCCCACGTGAACCAATAACCACAACATCCCTGTCGTGATTTTTTTACAGGGTGTGGAGTTCTCCAAAATCTTTGATCTGGTCTCAGGTAGTAATGAGGACAATGGCGTCCAGTCCCCCAGGTATGAAGCACATGATGTCATGATAACATGTCTACTAACACCTTTGTAAAAACGTTTGCCTACAATTTGCTACCGTCTGTAGTAAGCCATCTTTGAGATCACTTCAAATGTTTGACTTCCTAATTTCTTGAGGTTGCTCTTCCAACAAATTTACTCTGTAAACAAATCTGATGAGTCTTTGTCACAGTAGTTAGCAATGTAGTACCACACAGACGTCGGTGCGACACACATAACTACCTGTTTCGTCTAAAAGCTTCTACGCTTTATAACTGTAAGTCGTGCGTATCAGTGTAAATTCCTCCTGTTACTGTTCCATTACCTCTCAGTGCCTCCACGGTGGCCTGGCTACTGGAGAGCGGACTGGCTAAGCACGTGGCATCCACTGGTGAGGTGCGTACACATTAAAGTGCAGCCATATGTACGTCATATCGTTCTTACAATGACATTTTCCTGGAATTAACGGTGCCGATAATTCTGGAGGATGCCCTTCGTGACCTTTTGAAAGTTTGAAGGACGTCTCTAATCTGGATGGGATTTTCCGGGAAATGAGCCAAACACGTGTCTGTTCGTATCTGCGAAATAGTTTTTCCTGGAAAGATCAACAAAGACACATCCGAACCGATACCGCTTCCCGGAACCCCGGCACGATGGATCAAAGCGCTTCCGCCGTGCGCGTGTTGAGAAAGTTGGTATGGGTATTGACTGGAGGGCGCGCCGCTAGTTCTGTGATGCACAGCTTTTTGAATTCCGCGACTCTCTTTCGTGCAAGATGGATTACTGTAGCACGAGTAGCAAGAGTAGAAAATCCATCTTTAGTCTTTTTAGTTTTTCCAAGTCTCATGCCCTTTATGTTGAGGTTGACGACCTTTTGCCATTTTTCTTTGCGAACGCTAACATTGATAAATGTACACTAACACAGCAAAGAAAGACCCCAACAGGTGTCCTCCTACAAAATGAAGCGTTGAACAAAACAACACATTTTGAATCTGTAAAATAATAAAAGACTGTAAGGCAGCCAACGATATGATGATTTGTCCTCTGATTATTAATTATGAGGACGTGAGGAGACATGTAAGAGTTACTGCATCGTCTTGTTTTGTTTTGTTTTGTTTTGTTTTGTTTTGTGTTGTATCTGCCGAATACAGGTCTACACACATTAACGTAATGTCGGTTTCACTTATGCCTACAGGTTTTGAATCTACAGAACACTAGAGAGGATTCACGATTCAAATTTACGGTGAGTCAAATTACCAGTAATGGCTTTTGGACAACATGGAATGTATCATAAATATTTAACTTGCCATTGAAATTTTTGTTGGTAGTTTAAGGCCCGGTCACATACGTCGCATGATCGTCGAAGGATCGCAAAACTGTGGGCATTCTTGGGACAGTCGTAAATGCATTCTACAAAATTCATCCATTTTGTTTAGTTTTTGTTAGCTGTCATATGACTCATATGATATCCTTGTCATCCTTGACGTCGGCTGTTGGTTCTGGCACAGCGCTAGCCTGCTTGAAAAATCTACGACATCAAAATCGTACGACGACATACGACGTACGTTACCGCGCCCTATAGCTACGACATTAGTGTGCAGGCAGATGTCTCTATGTGTGCGTTAGTAAAGTTGTGTTGGTCGCCACAGGAAGAAGCAGGGACGGGGTTCCGCATCACGAGCGCCCTCTGTCTACCGATCTACAACAGAGAGAGGAAGATCATCGGTGAGCGATCATTTTAATGTACTTCTTCTCCACTTTTGTCATCCTCAACTGAGGTGAAGCATGATGCTTTTCCAAGGAGCTTCTAGTCCAATTCGGCTCGGGGTCACCCCTACTCTTCTCGATAAGTGTGTTGGGTTCTTTGACATTTTGCTAGCAACTGTTATTGCCTGCTGTGCACTCTGTCTGAGTGTTTTGTGTGATGAATTTGCGATTCAATAATTCTGTGGTGCCTTTTGTCTTCACCAAGGTGTGGCGCAGCTTCTGAACAAGCACAACAACGAGCTGTTTGACGAAAACGACGAGGGCATGTTCGAGGTAGGCGTCACGGAAACGACTAGATACAAAAACAGGATTGTCAACCCACTGTTATAGCATACTACTCTGTCAACAGCTGCGCTAAGGCATAGTGTCAAGTTGCTGTCGATAGCTAGCAAACAGTCTTCCCAACAGCGTGATTGTATGATTGGCTCATTGTTTCCTTACCCTGACTACATCATCATGCTTCTAGTAGCCCACTGGTCAGGACCCCTAGAAGCTTGATGACCAACAACTCTAAACCAGGATAATCGGGAACGTTTTAATCCTGTTGACTGAGACCTGCCTGTTGCCACAGTGTTGCAGGCTTTAACGACAGATTTCTATAGTGACAAACATCCCTGACCTCCTATCGGACTGATTGTTATAGTGATAAAGCTCCCTCAGCTCCTGTAGCAGTTCTGAGGATGGGATTGGTTCTCTAGAGTTTTTAGAGGTGCGTAGCCTTAAGCTCTTGCGGTGAGTAGGTCCGATCAGCCCTGACAGCGAGAGATTGTGTAACACAGTTCACTCGTCTTCCCAGGCGTTTGCTATCTTCTGTGGCCTGGGCATCCATCACACCCAGATGTACGAGAACGTCTGCAGGCTCATGTCCAAACAGAAGGTGGCGCTGGAAGTGTTGTCCTATCATGCAACCGCACGGGAGGAGGATGTGGGAAAACTGCTGGTAAGGCAACACATATTTTCGGTATCTTTCAAAGGAGTTAGAAGAAATTGTCACCAGGTTTTCACCATTCAAAACAAACAAACAAACAAACAAGACACACCGAGATGGTCACTTCCAACAGTCTACAAAAGAGGCAAATTACAGAAGAGTTTGTGAGAGGGTCATGCGATGACTACACGTCTGTACAGGCTAAATATTACTCAGTACTAGACATTACGTACCTACGTTAGAATGGAACTCAGAAGATGTATTATTTACCTCCGAATAACTATTCTCCTCTTTGCTCTCAAAAGAGTACTATTTCACAGACAGCACAGTTGCCTGCAGCCACTAAGATAGGACTGTACGACTTCCGCTTCAACGACTTCGTCATGAGCGAGGATGAGACGGTCCAGGGGGCAGTCCGCCTCTTCCTGGAGTGCGACTGCGTTAATAAGTTCCGCGTGCCTTATGACGTGAGTTCATCCCCGTCTGTGTGTGTGTGTGTGTGTGTCTGTGTGTGTGTGTGCGTGCGTGCGAGTGTGTGCGCGCGCACGCGTTTGTGTATGTGTATGTGTGAGTGTGTTCCAATAGGATTCTAGCAGTTGGCCTAGAGTATTTTGGCCGGGCGCCAGTAGGAAAATGCACAGACGTCGACGTAAACAGAGACATTGGCAAATGTTTCATTATGTTCGATGGGAGTTCAAAACATTACTTCGGATCTCCTTCGTCCACCTATATTGTTACCGCTGACGTCTTACAGGTGCTGTGCAGGTGGGTTTTGAGCGTGAAGAAGAACTACCGGCCGGTGACGTACCACAACTGGCGCCACGCCTTCAACGTCACGCAAACCATGTTCGTCATTCTGAAGGTGAGAAATCTGTTGTTGTTGTTATTGGTGTTATCACAGTAAGATCTTTCCCAGTTAATCAAATCATATTTCGTTGTTCCATAATGTGCTTGGGACGACGCCAATCCCTCATAAGTCAACGTAGTTGTTCATCCTGTTTCCTTCTTTCTATGAGTGGCTGAGAATTTGTAAACACTTGCCATTCACGTGATTGGCTCACCTTATTGATATGCTTGTTTCAAAGATGCCTACAGCAATGTGTTGTTCACAATAGCGTAACATCGCCAGTTGGTACTTTGGCCCAAATGTTTGACTTGTTTAACAGACAGAAAAATTGTTCTCCCTTCCAGACGGCTCCGTTTTCGTCCATGTTTTCTGACGTGGAGACTTTCGCCATGATGACAGCGAGTCTGTGTCATGACCTGGACCACAGGGGGACCAACAATGCCTTCCAGTCCAAGTAAGTAGAGGTCCCATTGCCGAAGATCTCATGATTGCCCTGCGCCCAAGATTGCATCAGAAAGATGTCTCCCAAACCTTTCAAAGACACATCACCATCTTGGTACTTTCAAAGACACATTAACTGCACATTTTGCAAATACACTTGTACATGTAGCTCCCTCCCTGGAGCACATGCCCCTGCACAGTGCACAGTGGTAACGAATTCATGTATTTTCAACCTCATTGCAGAATCGAGTCTCCCCTGGCTCGTCTGTACAGCACGTCCACCATGGAGCATCACCACTTCGACCACAGCATCATGATCATGAACAGCGAGGTGAGACATTGTCAGCACATTTCGGACATTCAGCATGTCTCATATTCGCTGCTGTATTGAGTACCTCCTCTCCATATTTCTTTACACACCAAAGTTGCAGCTTCGCCTTCTAGAAGACGTCCTAACTCGTTGATCGGGATGAATATCTCTGTCAAAAATTCTCCAGACCTTTATTCCTGCATTAATCTAGGCTATATATAACTGTCAGTGTACATCAAAGACATAATCCCATGGTCGATGTGCCCACAGATCAGGGCTTTAGTTCGTTTGGCAAACTGTTCTGCCTTTTACTGGGTATCATCCCATATCCATCTTTTCATGCATTTGACTTTGACCAACTTCAATGTCAATGTTGTTAAAGTTAAATCCCTTCCCATCACACTGGT